GAGGCTCTGCTTTCCACTCCCAGCACTGGAAGAAAAGAAAGGGAGGTGTGGGGAGGGAGCCTGGCGGGGGGGTGGGGGTGGGGGACGGGGACGACAAGCCTGTAATCCTGGCAGGCGGGAGACAGACAGGAGGGTTTCAAGTTCAGGTCCAACCTGGGGAAATTTAGTGAGACCTGACTCAAAACATGAGAAAGAGCAGAGATGTACGTAGCTCAGTATATCAATACATGCCTACCATGTCCTGGGTTCAACCTCAGCATGGGGGGGTGGTTGTTAAAATTATGTTTGAAAAAAATTATGACTAAGTTAAATTAAAAGGAGAAACCGAAGCATTCACAGTTAAGAAAACTCAATTACTGACATCAACCTCCCAAATACCATAGTTCTGTTAGGCCCTTGAAGTGCTATTATTAAAGGCACAATTTCAGAGACAAATTCGGTCGCCCCCTTCTGGCCAGCAAATCATAAACACTACAGGCTAGAAAGATTCAATACAAGTTATACAATTCAAATAATGATAGGATCTAAATTTTGTTCCTATTTGCATAACTTTTCCAGTTAACCATGGAAAGGCTATTCAATTTTTCAACAAAAGCTGCTATTGGGAAATCCTTATTATTCTACACTACACAAAAGACACTGCAGATTTTCCTTTTTGGGGGCAGTAGTGAAGATTGAATCCAGGCTTTCAGCCCTTCTTTTATTTATTTTTCTACATCTCACCCCTTTAAAAAAAAATTTTTTTTTTAAATTTTGAGACAGGGCTGGATGTGGTGGCCCAGGCTTGTAACCTCACCACTCAGGAGACTACAGCAGGAGGATCAGCAGTTTGAAGCCAGCCTGGGCTACATAGTAAGTTCAAAGTCAGCCTGAAGTACATGGTGAGACCCTGTCTCAAAAAACAAACCAACAGGCAGAATTTTGAGACAGGGTCTGGCTTATTTGCCCAGCTGAGATCTTTCAATCTTCCTGCCTCAGCCTCCCAGAGTGCTGGGATTAATGGCATGTGTCACCTCTCTCCTTCATTTCAAAGGGGGATAGATGGTAATTCATACAGGCAGCTTCAGCCTGCACATTTCATTGTCCCTAACTAAGGTGTCTCCAGCTAACACCTGTAGGAGTTCAGGACTGGACAGGGTTCACAGTAGAATGTGCCGAGTGGGAACCAAGGGATTCCTGGCCATCTTTTTTATTTTGAGACAGGTCTCACAAAGCTGCCCAAACTGGACTTGAATTTGCAATCCTCCTGCCCCAGTAGTCCTGGGATTACAGGTGTGCATGTGCCACTACACCTGGTTTAAATTTTTCAAAAAACATCCAGGGTGTGGCTTAGTAGTAGATGGCTTGCCTAGTGTGCCGAGGGCCTTCTTTTAATTTTTATTGTGAAACAGGGTCTCACTAAATTGGCGATGCTGGGCTTACATTTGCAATCCTCTGGACCAAGTCTCCCAGAGTGCTGGGATCATAAGCATGCACCACTATGCCCAATTTTTAAAAAAAACAAACTGGGCCGGGGATTTAGCTCAGTGGTTCTGTTGCCTGCTGTGCAAGCACAAGGTCCTGGGTTTGATCCCCCGTACCAAAAACCAAACAAACAAATTAGGTAATAAAAAAAAACTCACAAAACTTTTTTTCAAGATCACTTTTGAGGGGAGGGTGGATATGATCACAAAGTTGTAAGTAGTTGTAAGGTGTGGTGCCACATGCCTGTAACCCCAGTACTAAGCAGTGGATAGAGTTCAAGGCCAGTCTGGGCTACAGAACTGATCCTGTCTCGAAAAAGCAACATGTTATATGCTACAATGAAACTCTGTAATTTGCAAAATTAATATGCACTAATAAAACTACTTATTGGAGAAAAAGGTGACTTTTATTTTAGGGTGCAGGAGACTGAACCCAGGGCTTTATATATGCTCTGCCAGGCAAGTGCTCTACCACTGAGCTACATCCCCAGCTAGAGATCCCCCCTCCCCCTGTACTGGCGATCGAACTCAGGACCTTGCACTTGTGAGGCAGCCGAGGTGCCACTGAGTTAAATCCCTGGCCCTTAAAGATACCTTTAAAACAGAAAATATTCAGTAATACAGCTCGCTAAACCCAGAACCTGGGGCCAATGTTAAAATGGTCCATAGCACGGCTATTCGCCTTTCTGCCTTTCTGGTGTGCAATTATTACAAAGAAAATACAGTGAGCAGAGACCAGACAAGCAAGGCAAGGGCAATGTTTTACTCTGTGGGCATCACAAGTAAGGTAAACTACTCTATAAATGCACATCAAAACGTTCTATTGACTAACAAATGAGGTTCCCAGGATGGATCTCAAAGCCCCATTCATTCACTCATCACATCTGAATGGCCTACTGTGTGCCAGACGAGGGGCAGACAGGAAGGATTGCTTATTTTACCCACAAAATAGCCATTAACCTTCTACTCTGCACACTCTGCAGATTACAGGTGTGCCATATTCAAAAAGGAAGAAGGCTAGGAGTGTGGTGGTGCACACCTGTAATCCAGCACTCTGGAGGCTGAGGCAGGAGGACTGGAAGTTTGAACCCAGCCTGAATAACTAAGTGATTTAGTGAGACGTTGTCATTGTCTCAAAATAAAATTGAAAAAAAAGGGGTTGGGGATACAGTTCAGTAGTAGAGCACCTGCTTAGTATGTGCAAAGCCCTGGGTTCAACCTCAGTACAAAAAAAAAAAAAGAAAAACGAGGCAAGGGGACCCTTATTTCATACATAATAAAGAAGTCAGAAGCATCAGACTACATGATGTTTACATTTTCAGTGAAAACAAACTACTCAGGCTACAGCAGCCAATGAAGAAAAATCATGGGGAAGATGTACCCAAGGGTCTTCCCTACCCTGGAAGGTCATCAGGACTCTGGCTCCAATGTGGGCACCTTCACTCAGACCCTTCCCCTGCAGTAAAGGTCTAGGGCAGGACGCACTCACACACCTTGCACCTGGAGGAACCATTCCAAACTATCCACAGGATTCTTTCTGGCGGTACTGGGATTGAACCTGGAGCCTTCACACTGAGCTACGTCCCCAGCTTTTTTTTTTTTTTTTTTGTACTGGGGATCAAACTCGGGTCCTAGCGCTTGCACAGCAGGTGGTGGAACCACTGAGCTAAATCCCCAGCTCCTCACCAGCTTTCTAAAAACATTTATTTAGCAGTATTGGGGGTTAAACCCCAAGCCTTTGCATTGAGCTGCATCCCCACCCCCCTCACCCAACATTCTCCCTAAATTGACCAGGCTGGGTTCAAACTTGCTATCTTCCTGCATCAGCCTCCCAGAATTCTGGGATTACAGGCGTGTGCCACTGTGTATGGCTGCTGACATGGTTCTTAACACAAATGAGGGTAGTTTAGTCCTGGCTGGAAGTTCTAATATAACCTGCTTTGTATAAATTCCACCTCAACTAAATTAAACCAGTACATGTCTAAATATAAAACCAATCTATAAAAACCCTCTTCTGAAGCTTTGAAAAAGGGGTAAGGTATTTCTCACTTTGTGTTCACCTTTGTTTTTTCTTTTTGGTACCGGGGATCGAACTCAGGACCTTGCGCTTTCGAGGCAGGTGGTGGAACCCCTGAGCTAAATCCCTGGCCTGTGTATTCAACTTTTCCAACAAGAAAAGGTTAGGTAAAAACTTTTAGAGCATGCTGGGTGTGGTGGCCCATGCCTCTAATCCCAGCACTCTGGAGGCTGAGGCAGGAGGACTGCCCCGAGTTCAGCCTGGGCTACACAGTTCAAAACCAGCCTAAACTACATAGTGAGACCCTGTCTCAAAACCAAACAAAAAAACCTTTAAGACTTCATCCAGGAAAGGTGGCTTACATCTGTAATCCCAGCAATCTGGGAGGCTGTGGCAGGAGGATGGAAAGTTCAAGCCCAGCCTGGTAGCCTGACAACATGCTGTCTCAAAAAAGTTTTAAAAAGGGCTGGGGATTTAGCTCAGTGGTTTCACCTCCTGCTGCGCAAGCGCAAGGACCCGAGTTCGATCCCTGGTACAAAAAAAAAAAAAAGTTAAAAAAGAGCTAGGGACATAACTCATTGCGAAGACTCTGGGTTCATTCCCCAGTTATAAAAACAAACCAACAAGCTTTGTACTACAGAGTTAAAGCAAGAGCTTAACTTTTTATTTTTAACTTCCCAAACGAATCATGAAGTGAAGGCAGAAAACAAAACCAAAGCTTAAGAAGTCAGAACAGGCGGTACGTGCATTCTAGTCCCAGGTGCCCGGGGGCTGAGGCAGGAGGGTTCCAAAAGCCCAGGGGTTTGCGACCAGCCTGGGGAACATAGCAAGGAAGATCGCATCCAAGAAAGAACCTAAAAACCCGCAAAAGTGAAGTTTGGGTCCCATCTTTTCTTCACACCCTACTCCAGCCGCGCCACGACAGGGACCCACCTCGGGGCCAAGGCGACCTTCGCGCTTCACAGAAACGACCTCCGCGCTACTTAACCCTAAAGGTTCGTCCCACTCCCCAGCCAAGCCGAGCAACTCTCCGACCCTCCTCAATTGCAGATCCGCCGGCCTGGAGCGCGCACCCTGACGGCCCACCCCCTCCTTTCCCTATTTCCTGGAAGTTACTTCTTCCCACCTCTGCAGCCCAAATTCCTCGAGCAGCGCGGGCAGGGCGACGTCCTCAGGTCACATTCGAAGCTCCGGGTCTGGCCGTCGGCAGCCCCTGCCGCACACGTCCGAGTGCCCAGCCTGTCGTCTCCTCTTTCCTACAGTGTCCCAGCGCGGTCCCGGGGCCCGCCCCACCCGGCCCGAGCAGCTTTGTCTCGGGCTACCGGCCCCGCCAGGGGACCCCCAGTGCTCGGCCCACCCTGAGCCCCCGCGCCCCCCTGCTCGGCGCTCCCCGCCGCGCCTTCTCCAGCCACCCAGCAGTCGGCGCGCGGGAAACCGAGGCGCCTCGCGCCGCCCCGCGCGCACTCCCGCCGCCGCCGCCGCCGCCGCGCCCCCTCCCCCGCCTCCAGCGGACTCTTCACCTCAGCGCAGCGCCCAACAGTCCGAGAGGAACCGGTGCCGCGCTGCTGGCGCGTCGCGTCTGGCTGGCCGGGGGAGTGGCGCCCAGGAAAGCAACAAGGCGGGTGGCCGCAGTCGACCCCCAAATTGAAGCGGCGTACCGCAGGCCCCGGCCAACGGCCCTCCTCTCAGCCGAACAAAAGAGCCTCACACTCTGCGCTGCCCGCCGCCCACAGCGCGCAAGCGCGACGACCCGCCGCAGGGCACCATGGGGATGGGGGTGGTGGTGGTGGTGTCTGTCTAAGACTACAAGTCCCAGGGTGCCGTGCGCTCGCCAGGCCTCACGTACTGTTCGTGAGGGTTGTAGGGAATTTTAGTTTCTGAACCGCGGAGACGCAGTAACTGTGGCAGGCGTTTGTAATCTCGGTTCTCAGGGGAGGCTGAAGGATCGCAAATTTGAACCCAGTTCGGGCAATTTAGTGACTTGAGGAAACCCTGTCTCAAAAATTTTTTTAAAAAATGGGCCGTGGATGTAGCGCAGTGCGAAGGCGTTGGGTTCAATCACCATCATCATTAAAAAGAAAAAGACGTGATTTTAAAAGTGAGTCCTTTGATGCTTCTGGACAATTTTATGTAGTTATATCCTTGACATTTAAAATTTTAACAGGTTCCTCACTGTGTAACGGCAGAAGGGAAATACCAACAGGCACCCAGGACTTGGAGGCAGAAAGCAAACTATTTATGTCGACGGGCCTGGTTGGGATAATTCCTCAGAGAACCAGGCAACTGTCTTTTGTCTGTCTACAGTTTATATAGGTTTTGCAAGCAGGAACTAGTATAGAAGCAGAGCTAGCAGTTGATTGGTTACATATCATTATTACTGAGTGGTCTATACCAAGTTCAAACTTGGGGTAAGAAACATTAATTTTAGGGTAAGGTCGGCTAGATAAGGGAGACACATATTTGGAGTATGCATCAGTTCAGGGCAGGGTCTGTCAAGGAGGAATTTGCCTGGGCTGAGAAGTAAAACTGCTTACGGCCTGGACTGGGGCCCCACCTGTATTATCCTTCTGCCCCAGCAGCACCAGGTGGCAGTGGCACTGGCAGAGAGGGGGAGTTAGAGACCCTTGTACCCGTCCTCACCACCTGCACCAGGCCTCAGAGAGGCACCGGACAGCCAGAGACTGGCGCTGTATCAGAAATGCATCGTATAAAGGGGCAACGACTTAGCTCAGTTGTGGAGGGCGGTGTTAGCTATGAAGATTCCATTTTAACTTTGCCCTCCACTGTAAAGGACAAGATATCAGCTCTGGGAATACTCTGTCCCTGCCAAGCCAAATGCTTATCTTTAAAGATTGTCCTGTGTCATGATGAATGTACCCAGAGATATAAAGAACTAAAAGAACAGGGAAATTCTAGAGAATGGGGAAATTCCAAAGAAAAGAGAAGTGGGTGTTTCTGTATCAAGGCCAGGACTAAAAATAGCCACAGCCTGTTCAGTGTATAAAAGATCCAGAAAAAATAAACCTGGGCTCTCAATCTCTCTGGGAGCCCTCCCGACTCTATCTCTGTGTCTTTCTTTTTCTTCATCCTCACTCCCCCATTCAGGTGCTGTTCGACATGTGACGGTGGGCTCTGTCACTCAGTGGTTATTCCACCTGCCTCTCAAGTACAAGGACCCGAGTTCGATCCTTGGTACCAAAAAAGAAAAAAAAGAGGCCAAAGAAATGCATCATATAGGGTACGTTACATTCCAGGGTGGGTTCAAGCCCTGGGCAGACAGGGAGTCTTGAAGGTAGATATCAAGGTATGTCCTTGGCAGCACTAACAGGTTAGGTATGGAGTTATGTTCTTGGCAACGCTAGCAAGAAAATATGTGCTTACAATAATCATTTATTATAGACTGCAGAACTTTGGAGTTATTAACTCCATTTTCAGATTAACCCATACCACACTTTTCCTTTTCAACTGGAGCTTTATGAAATCTCCACCTTGTCAAATCTCAATCTTGGTAATCCTCGATCCCTGCCTGTGTTAAAAACAAGAACACAGGCCAGGGATTTAGCTCAGTGGTTCTGCCGCCTGCCTCACAAGCAGAAGGACCCGAGTTGGATCCCCGGTACCAAAAAACAAAACAAAACAAAGAAAAAAACCAAGAACACAAAACAAGGGTTCTACTACTCAACATTGAGATTACTTCACCTTCAGGGCAGCCCCTCACCCCCTAAAGTCGGTAGGTGGATGTCAAAATAGCTTTCTGAATTTCCCTTTTTCATTTCCTGTGGCAATGGGTGTCACCTCCTTCATCTCCATGAGCACCCCTTCTACAGCCACCCCAAAGAAACAGAATCAGAGCCAGGCTTGGTGGTGCATGTGCCTAACCACAGCACTCCGGGAGGCTGAGCCAGGAGGATCACAAATTGGAGCTGCTTGGACAATTTAGTGATGCAGGGAGACCCCGTATCAAACCAAAAAGAAAAAGGCACTGGGAATGTAGCTCACAGAAAGGCCCTGAATCCCCAGTACTGCAAGAGAGGAAAAAAAGCAACATAGAAATAGGCAAAAACTGTGCTTGTCATTGAGACAAACATGCTGGTTCTTCACATGGAAATTCGCTCTCCCATGAGAACATTCACCCACTTGGTTATAATTAGTTAATATCTGTCTTTCTTTCCGGGAATCTGAACTCTGGGAAGGGTAGAAACTCTGCTTTGTGCGCCCTGCGTTGCTACCACTAGGTCCCCAGAGTCCAACGCAGTCCTTGCATGCAGTATTTGGTCAGGATTTGTTGTTAGCACCAGCAAAGACCAGGGTTCAATCCCCAGCATTGGAACAAAGTGTTAAGTGATGAAATGAATGAACAGAATGTCCTCCTACCTGTCAGAAAATAAAGCAGGTCAAGTTTTCATTCATCTCTTTTCTTATCAGATTGTTTTTTTTTAACTCTCTCTTACCCTGGCTTTCCCTACCCATTCAGGAACTGAGTAGAACCTCTGCCAGAGGTGACTTGTTTTTGTTCTTCCAAGATAGGTCTCCCTATGTAGCCCAGACTGGCCTCATGGGACTTCTCCTGCCTCAGCCTCCCAAGTGCTGAGATTACAGGCCTGTGCCATCTCTTCCCAGCTCATTTTTTCTCTCTCTCTCTTTTTTTTTGGGTGGGGGTACTAGGGATTGAACTCTGGACCTTGTGCTTTCGAGGCAGGGGGTGGAACCACTGAGCTAAATCCCCAGCCCTGAAGGGTCCTGTTTTGAATAGCTTTCATTAGGAGAAAAGTCTGTGTACTGATATTGCCTACCTTTTGTGTGTGTGTGTGTGTGGGGTCACACATACTGAGCAAGCACTCTACCATTGTGCTATATCCCTAGCGCATGTTAAATTCCTTGCTGTTTTTGAGATAGGGTCTTGCTATTTGGTCCAGGTAAGCTTCAAACTCCAACTTTTTTTTTTTGGTTTTTTTGGTACGGGGGATTGAACTTGGGTCCTTGTGCTTGTGCAGCAGGCAGCGAAACCAGAGCTAAATCCCTGGCCCCCAAACTCCAACTCTTGATCCTCCTGCCTAGCCTCCCAGTGCTGTGACTATGGGTGTGTGCTACCATGCCCCCTGCCAGAAGTGCATATTTTAATTAGAGTCCAGGTTTTTCCAGGAAGTCATTGTGAGAATCAGATAAAAGAGAAAAGAAAGCTCTTAAGCCTATTTGCCCTTTAAAAGGAGGGTATTTGTTAATACCAAAAGACTAATCTTTAACAATAAAATTTCAAGTAGCAGTCAAAATGAAACAAAGAATTTTATAGTGTGGGAGAGAAAATATTTCAAAAGTTCTGTACTTCACCTCTCCTTAAATCACATTTCAGAAGCAGTTACCTACCATTACTTAAAATAGCTACCAACTACTGGGTGCCAGTTACAAGTCTTTTTCTTTACATGTTACTGTTAGTTCCACAGAAATGCAGTAAAGCAGGTCTCAAATACTTCCATAGTTTCTAGATTTTTAGGCTGAGGCTGAGGTTTAGAGAAGTTAGGCAACTTGTCCAATGTTACACATCAGGTGAACAATAGAGACAGAGTTGAATCCTCTTCCTGTGATCCATGTGTTTCCTGTGCCCATCAGCAGTTTTGTCTTGAACAAGATTATGATGACTCAGTTGCAGTTGACTTTAGAAAAGAAATTCTGAAAGCAGGGCATGGCAACACATGCCTGTAAGCTCAGCTCTCTGGAAGGCTGAGGCAGGAAAATTGCAGATTTGAGCCCAGGGTGGGCAATTTATCAATTTAGCAAGACCCTGTCTCAAAATGAAAAGAAGGCTGGGCATAGTGGTACACACCTGTAATCCCAGCACTCAGAAGGCTGAGGCAGGAGTATTATCGACAGCTTAATTAGTCAGAAATACTACAGACAGACAGGGCTGGGCCCTCAAAGAGGTCAGTGTAGAAGACAAGAACACATTACAACTCTGGCTAGAGACAAAGAGAATTGACTACACCTACACACTTCCTCTGAAGCAGGACCTAAAGAAAGACACCCCCTCCTCACATCTCTGTCTCCCCATAGCTGTAGCTCCTTGTTTTGGTACAGATAAAATCGACAGTTATGTCTGTAAACAAAGTTTATGACACTTAGCTCTCACATGATTTATATGACAATGTCTTCTTACAAGTCTAAATTACAAAACTTTCTGGCCTTGTCCTGTTCTAGTAAACTCACTTGCTATGACACTGAAAAGACCACACCCATCTTGGACCACATATATAATGAAAACTGAAACCTTTTCTTCGATCATCGCTATTCCTTTGGACAGGAGTCCCTCGAACCAGTGTTCATCTATAATAAAGTCCTCCTGGGCCAGGGATTTAGCTCAGTGGTTCTGGTGCCTGCCTTGGAAGCGCAGGGTCCCAAGCTGGATCCCAGGTACCAAAATAAATAAATAAATAAATAAATAAATAAATAAATAAATAAATAAAAACAAAATAAAGTCCTCCTGATACCCATTGGTCTCTCCAGTGTCTCAGAATTCTGCAACACCCCTAGGGATGCACAGCAGTGATTGATATTCTAAATAGTCATCAATCACCTTGAGTGGGGACCAAAACCCCCCTAGCCCATTCCTTCTGGGAAATCCTTCTTCTTTTCATGTACACTTGCTATGTGACCTGCTTCCCCATTTCATCCCCATTTAATCAATATTACCTAAGCGACTATACTTGTATCTTATTGGTTGACCATAGATTTGGGGGGTTTTTTGGTACTGGGAATCAAACTTGGGACCTTTTTGCTTGTGAGGCAGGCAGTGGTTCTACTGACCTAAATCCCCGGCCCTGGTTGACCATAGTTTTGTCCCACCTTATGCCCACCTTGTGATTTTCCACTGGATCAGTATTACCTAAGTGACTGTACTTGTAATCCTATTAGTTGACTATAGTTTTGTCTTACCTTATACCTGCTTTATAGAGTTTTACTCTATAAAACTCCCTTGAAAAGAGATCTAGGGGCTGGGGATTTAGCTCAGTGGTTCTGTCGCCTGCCTCACAAGTGCAAGGACCTAAGTTCAATCCCCGGTACCAAAAAAAAAAGAAAAAAAAAAAAGAAAAGAGAGATCTATTGCAACCCACTTTCTGGATCCCCTTCTGTCTGTTTTAGAATATATCTTTCATACAATAAATTTTTCCTATTCTTAACCTCTGTTGTTCCTAGAATTCATTCTTCAATTTTAGAGAACACAAACTCAGTGTGTCTGACATCTAGGTTGGGAGTTATAATATTTCCCTTGTATGATTTGGAGGTCTGTGTATCATATGCCCTATATTGTTTGGAGGTCCCACTGAGATAATTAGATGGAGGTAAGAGTTTGCTTTCGTTTCATAGATTCTGGATTGTGACTCACTTAAGTAACCAAAATCGTCTTGAATATTTATGCCTTATGTCTTGAAATTTTGTCAACTACATATGCTTTGAGTTTTTATGCTTTTTTCTGTTTTATGCATTGTCTTTTGTTAAAATGATGGTAAACTGACAACATGGGAAGATATGTCCCATCAAAAAAAGTTATAATTTGGGCTGGGAATTTAGCTCAGTGGCACCATGTGGCCTCTCAAGCACAAGGTTCTGAATTCGATCCCTGGTAATGTAAAAAAAAAAAAAAAAGTGACTTTTTATATTTATTTATGCAATAAATATGTTGCATTTGGACTTAGTTGCTGAATTTATTAGCATTCCTTGTTTGATCCGTTTGATTTGTTAGACAACAGTACAAGGAAGAGTAGTGTTGAGTCCCAGAACCTGGAAGGAAGCTCCCTCGCTGCCATCCCAGGCTCCTAGGGCAGAGAAGGTGAGCCGGTCCCAGCACCCGGAAGGAAGCTCCCTGCCTCCATCCCAGGCTCCTAGGGCAGAGAAGCTCAGCTGGTCCCAGCACCCGGAAGGAAGCTCCCTGCCTCCATCCCAGGCTCCTAGGGCAGAGAAGCTCAGCCAGTCCCAGCACCTGGCAGGAAGCTCCCCTGGTGCCATCCCAAGCTCCTAGGGCAGAGAAGCTGAGCTGGTCCCAGCACCCGGAAGGAAGCTCCCCACCTCCATCCCAGGCTCCTAGGGCAGAGAAACTCAGCCAGTCCCAGCATCTGGCAGGAAGCTCCCCTGGTGCCATCCCAAGCTCCTAGGGCAGAGAAGCTGAGCTGGTCCCAGAACCCAGAAGGAAGC